ATCCAGATGTGACGTAGGAAAAGGCCACATATAGAAAAAAATTAAGGGCCCAAAGAATAAAACCACCACAGTGACATGAGCTGACAGAGTAGAGAGGGCCTTGAATATGCCACCTGAAGAATTCTTCTGAACAGTCACCAAAATGAAGATGTATGAGATGATCAGAGTTAAAAAGGAGGCCACAGAAATAAGTCCACTATTGGCAGTAACCATGAATTCCAGTGTGTAGGTCTCTATGCACGCAAGTTTTATAAATCGAGGAAGGTCACAAAAAAAACTGTCTAATTCATTAGGGCCACAGAAAGGCAAGTCTATAACAAAAGTCAACTGAGTTACTGAGTGTATGAGGCCAATTACCCAGGAAGTGACTAAAATTAAAATGCACATTCGTGGACTCATGACAGTCAGGTAGTGGAGAGGCTTACATATAGCAACATATCGGTCAAAGGCCATGGCCAGGAGCAGCACCATCTCAGTGCCCCCAACTGCATGGATAAAGAAGATTTGAACTACACAGCCCCCAAAAGAGATAGTTTTGTGCTTTCTGAAAAGGTCATAAATCATTTTAGGAGCTGTGGAGGAGCAAAATATCAAATCGATAATGGAAAGGTTGGCCAGCAGGAAGTACATGGGGGACTGTAAGTGGGGGTCAGAGGTCACAGTTAGCACAATGAGGAGGTTTCCCATCAGGCTTGCCACATAGAACACTGAAGAAAAGAGGAAGAGGAGGAGCTGGATCTCCCAGGAGGTAGAGAGCCCCAGGAACACAAACTCAGACACCACAGAGTGGTTGGCTTCATCCGTTGCCTCCATCAGCAATGACAACTCTCATGCCACCTGAAAGAGGAGAGGAAAGGGAAACACTGACTTAGGACAAATAGCACTGATCTTGGCAAAATAGTGGGCAATTTAAAAATTAAAGGCTCATTTATGCCTGTAGAGACTATTCCGATCACAAATCAATTTATATTCATCAATTGTTTTATTGCCAAAAATTATATCACACAGAATAACTGCTCTTTTATTCATTTGAATGAACAGTTCTGTTGTATTTTTAAGTATTATTTATGAGCCAAAGACTATGAGCTAAAGGCATTTTACATAATAACTATATTAAATACTTAAGTAACATAACAAGCATTCCTCAATATACTAATACCATAGGCATTATCACATCAGCAAGTTCTTTTGAAATACTTACATGAGTGTTTCAGGTATGGAGATATACATTTCTCACATCTACAACTGAGAAAACAAGTTATTTATAAGAAGACAATAAATACCAGTGTAGAGGAGACCAGATCATGGCACTCACAATGAGCACTAGAAAAAGTGACATGATTGTGGGAACTGCAGAGAAGATTCTGACAAAGGAGAGTCTTTCCCTGGGGAAGGAAAGAATGTGGGACAAGTGAAAGAGGCAACCAGAATGAAAGTGAAGAGTTGTAAATCTTAAGTAAAAGAGAA